TTTCGTCAACGATCATTTACCAATCGCGGCATCTGTTTGTAGGGTTGGCTTTCTGGACTCCTCTTACCAGTAATAAATTACCGTAAATCGGCTGTACAAAGTCAGTGTGGTCCAAAAAAGTACTTTTCATTGTTCCAAACTATCACACAAATTGCTTGACATGACACATCATCTCAAGTCATCGGCAACAGCCGAAGAATAGCAGTATTGACTTCAGTGCTGTGTAAGTGCAACTGGGAAACTGTAAGATTTGCAAAGTAGTTGTACTTTGGGAGCCAACGCATTCAACGCCAACAGAGAGTTCGGTTGCTTGCATTAGAAATTAACGGCGACAACAAGTACTCTGTTTATAGGCATTCTGGTGTTCTTCAGTATTGTAACGCTAATGAGTTCCGCATTTTCGTACATCATGTCCCTTGGTAATATCTTATGTTCTAGACTGAAGTTCAAATAACGTAACTCAATGAACATTGACCTGCGGATTAAAGGGTCTTAGATCAAAATGTATTCCTTTATTTACTTAAAAGGAGCATTCAGCTAAAAACGGACACATTTTCGAATGTTTCCCATCGAGTTTGCTCGTTATGGAAATCTGAACATTTATACCATTCTTATAGTAACTGGAGAAATTTTAATTTAATAACAAAAAGTTCGGAAGATGGGGTAGACAGTTTAAATCCTCGTTACTTATTTCATTTGATGTCTGCAATCTCATTTTTGGCGTCTCACTATCCCCTCGTCTTAATTCGGTTAACTTCGTCCTTGTGATTTTCTTTGCTCCGGTGATGTGACCGAGCCAACGTGCAGAACGTCTTTGGCCCCCATTAAAATATAACTTCTCAAAAATTTCACGGAGCACCATGAATGCAGACGATCTTGGCGCTTCGAGCAGAGGTTCGAGCTGATCTTGTAACAGCAGTTTTTCCGAGGCCAGTTAGATTAATCCCATTTACTTATTCTTATCTAATTTTCCAATCACCTTAGAATGTTCTTTCACTGTTGCTTATTTATTTCCTGGCAGAAGAGAACACGATGGCCGTGTCAGGCTGCAGTCACCTGTTCCAGAAGAGCTCTGTATAACGGTTAGCTAATCTGCCATTTCTGCAAGGAAAGTAAAGAATGTTTGTTGGCCAACTTCGCAAGGTGTGGTTGAACCTTTTCCAGCTCCATTGTGGGGCAGTCAGTAAATACTATACATTAGTCGGACGTCTAGTTGGACAGGCTGACACAGAAAGTCATTGCAGCAACGCAATCTGGAAAAGGGAAATTATATATTTTCAGACCCACTAGAGTGAGGAAGAATCCATAGAGGTTCCACATGAATCATGGATCAATATAGGCATAACCAGTGCTCACGAAAACCTCAAATGTTATGTGATTTCACCACGCTCCTTCACTACCACCAACTAATATCGATACCTGACTGGAATCTCTACCGGCGAGAACGACTACGCCCGCCGTGTTCCGCACGGCGTGGTGGGCGCAGGTCGTTGATTCACGCGTGAATTAGTTTAGAATAAGGCAGACTTACGCCGAGTCCACCGAACTCTCGCCTCCCTCACCCATATGGCTCCGGTAGTAAGAGAATGTCCGGAAGACCAGACGTGGGCTCGTGCGCAATGGCGTACAAAGTTAAATAGCCCGTTTGAACGGGTTACGGGCGACGAGGTTCCCACAACATCTACTGGGTCTACACGAGGATGGATCGGATCTCATAAGAGAGAGGGTGCAGTGAAGTTCACATTGAGGAAAAAAACGTTGAACCTGAATATCAGTCATCCTGTCGGCCACTCCAAATGCCAGTTCGATCCTTGTGAGCGACGATGTCCACCGTGTACTCCACAGCAAAGTGAGAGAAGGGACGGTCGCTTGTGCGCAATTCCTTTAATATTGATAGTAGACATACGGTGCATCTACCACACAATATCCTCTCCCCCTCCCCAACTGGGTCCTCTGTCAAGACAAAGTCAAAAGGACCGGATGTGGGAGAGGGAGCAGATATCTAGCACGACCGGATCCGTATCTTCGAGTACCATCACACGCCCTGGTCAACAATATCCGGTGACCAGAATTTTGCATAACAAGTACAAAGCAGAGATGGCTCAGATTCCAATTTACGCGGCGTCAGACTGCATCAAAAGCGTACCGCTACACCGCAATATTGCTATTTTTATGGGTGCATATTCGCAATAACGCTTGCGGAGTTCGATATAGTCGTCCAAATAAACAACCGCGTGCTAAATTTAAGGGGCGCTTCCCACATACATGCGCACGCACGCACGCACGCACGCACGCACGCACGCACACACACACACACGCACGACAGTTCGACCGTCGATTTCAACGATGTCCACCGTGTGCCCCACAGCTGCAGCAGCGGCGGAAGCAGGGACGGTGACTTACGCAAGGGTTTATAGTGCCAGTAGACTTGCGTAGCATCTACCTACACTCTCTCCTCCTCCCCCGCCTGGGCCCGGTGTCAAGACAGAGTCAAGAAGACCGGAGACGAGGGAGGCCGCAGGTG